TGACGTAGTAGGTCCAACCAAAGGCTGGCCGCTAGAAAACTTCGATTCCAGAAAATGCAGCAGGCTGTGATGCTTCCTTCCACAGCTGCGACCATAAGCAGCGAGGCACTCACGCATGTGATGGCCCGTTTGGAGACACTTCCGACAAAGCCCGAGTCGCCTACCCTCACCATTGGCAGAAATCGGCGGCATGCAGACGTTATTGGGACCATTTTCCGCATAAAATACAGACAGAGGGAAGCGAATTATTAACAATAAAAGATGATCTACGGTTATTTTCACCTCGACGCCTTCCCACCTGAACGCCCGGGCTCCTAATTAGGACTCTCCTCCTACTTAGCCTGGGTGCCAACCGTACCAACCAACCAACCAATGGGTACCAACCTTTAAGGAAGAACCTGGACAATAATGCAGCAGGCGATCTGTTTTGACGTACCAAATTATTTAAGACTCGCATATGGGCATTGAATTTTTCCGAAAGACCTCGAAGATCTGCAATTAACCACTTTCCAACAAACTGAGGCCCAGAATCTCGTTTCCATGATCCTGAAATATTAAGCGACGGTTATTAAATCGTTATTAAATATTATTATCCAATAAATTCAGCGCGACATCATAATTCTCGTCGGAGACTTCCAAGAAACATTGGAAACAGGCTGAAGAGCTCCTTGGTTCCTCTGCACATTGGGCGGAAACGCCGCCTTGTTGCCGACATTAGAATTTCCAGAACCGTTTGGACTGGGTTCGTTTATATGTAGTCCCATTTCTGTCCATAATCTCTTCTCAATTATTTTTTGTCTTGACATCTTGTCCTAATTAGAATCATTATATACTCACCATTTTTGAAGACCCACTCGGTATGATATATTCAAAACGAACTCAAATAATCGAATCCATGCGTGTAGAGGACTAACTGCAAGGCATTCGGGTTTGGTTACAAAACCTTACTGTTAATATCAGTTATTTTAAAAAAGTCCTTTGGGCCTGCTCCACAAATCGGACATGGTTGGGTGGACCTTGTCCCCGTTAAAGTATTCAAAACTTTGCCATGTATAAGCGTCATGCGTAAGTCGTATGAAATTTCTACTTTAAGAGGGGCTTCTTCCAATAAAAATGTTTTTAAATTGGCTATTTGTAGATCCAAAATATTTTTTGAGTTTAAAATATGTTCTCGACTTTCCTTAGTGAATTCTATCTTTAATGGCCTGCAATACCTGACGGACTGTGGGTTTTGATTTCTTCAGATAATTCGTCCCATTTGATCAGTCATTTCAAGAGGAATTCAGCAACAGTTTCTGATACTTGTATTGCTAGTGGCCTGCTCTTGTTATACCCTTGCAGATGGTATTTTAATTTTGTCCAAAAGTGTGCAACGCAGTGAAGGAGACATGTCCGACCCTATAAAGTATATATATTCTTGATCGGGATCCCCTCCTGAGTTGATATGAGAATGTCCGTCTGTCCGTCTGTCTCTCAGTTTTAAAGCTATCGTCTTGAAACTTTGCACACACTCTTCTTTACTTTGCACGCAGTATTTAAGTCGGAACGGCCCGAATCGGCCGACTATGTCCTATAGCTGCCATATAACTGATTGATCGGAAATGGTATAACTTTGGTGTTTTTGAACGAACGCTGAAACTTAGTACATATTCTATTTTTGGTCAGTTAATCCAACCTACCAAATTTCATTAGGATCGGCCGACTATATCCTATAGCTGCCATATAACTTAACGATCGGAAATGGTATTTGGTAGAAATATCAACTTTCGTATTTTTGAAGATAGGAGCTTGGGACTTTTATTGGTTTTATTATGATGTAATCTTTAGGATCGGCCAACTATATCCGATGTTTGCGATAAATATCCGGTCTTAACTGCAAGGGTATATCAACTTCGGCTCCGCCCGAAGTTTAGCTTCCTTTACCTTTTCATAGCTAGGAAAAATATTGCAATTCTTTTTTATATTCATTAATCTAATGTTAATATATTGTTGCTTTGATAAGAAGTTCTCAATAAGGAATGCCAACGCCTCATCTTCTGACAGTAAATTTGGTGTCGAACTCTTCGAATGACATTCGAATGAATGACTCTTCGTTTGCATTCAATTTTGTCTTTAAAATCCTAGACGTTTCCTTATCTCCGGACTTCTTTGCTGACATGGCAGCTGCATGTATAAGAATGTCTTTTAAATTTTCCTTCGAAAGTTTTGAAGCCAACATTCTTTTCAAACGAGCTCCTCCTTCTTCGAAAGCTAAATGGGGTCTTCCTCTCTGTTTTGTGGCATGATCCTCTTGGACAGAAATGATATTTCTGACGCTAGCCAGCTTTTATTTGCCTCCTTAAAACGTTCCATATGTCTATTACTTTTGATTAATAGCTTTTTAGCATGGGCAATAAAATTTTGCAATTGTTTCTTTATGCCATTTAGAGCGTCGGTAGATAAGCAATTTTTGTTTATTTTATCGCATAGCCAATCAAATGTAGCGTCAATACTGCGCCCCCTGCCCAGCCACACATCCAACAAATCGGATCAACGAATGTTGAGTTTTCCTAAAACTATTCAAATATATTTAAATTAGCAAATATGCGCAAAAGGTGTTAACTTTATTTCAATATACATAGAATAACACATACAACCTCATTTGCAGTTCACGTAATACGACGTAATATCATTAGTTCCAGTCCACGAAACACAGGCATTTTGGGGTTTTATTGCATATAAAACATGTATGTATTTATAAATCAACTAAATATAACATAACACAAACACATGCATAATTTTGAAACTTTTAACAGTATTCTACATACCTTGATGTCTATTTTCTATACTTAAGTTTCAAAATAAGCACTGTGTTTTAATGATCATAAATTAACAAACGTTGGCCACGTGAAAGAGAAAAAGTTTGGAACACATAACCTAGAACAATCAGCTGACTTTAAATGGCCAGGGATGGCAATAAAAATATTTTAAAAGTATTTTTATAATGGGGCAACATTTTTTTAACGGAATAAAAAAAAGGGAAAATTTAACAAAATAATTTAACAAACAAACGGGTTGGGGTGGGTGCTCCTGTGACTGCGCCGCTGGAATTCATAATTGATTATACTAAGTTCCGACCAACCCAAGGTAAATAATTCCGGCTCCAAAATTTTGTCACTCAAAATTTATTTGCTCGCGGCGAACACGATCTGTCCCTCTGTGCGCTCAGACCGTAGCGGAATTGTGGAACGTATATACATATATGAAGTTATGTGCGGGCGAATGCACTTGCGTTAAGGAACGTATGTATGTACATATGTATGAAGTCTATGCGCGGGCGAATGCACTTTCGGTACATGAACTTATTATTATTTATTTATTTTTGTTTATTTTTAGTATTTTTGTGTAATTTGTTTATTATTATAAACAAACTGTTTGCTTATTAGCCACTGATGTGCTGATATGCCGCGAAGAGATAACGAAGGACAGTGCGCCCGCCTTAGATAATAGGCTAAGCGGATACTTGCTAGCTTGAGATGCTAAATTAGGTGAAGCCGATGGGCCGAGAAGGAGTCGGCTTGCGACCAACAATGCGTACATTATTAATTCATTATTTAAACCTAGCAGTTGTTTGCTGCTTGACCCGACAATATCTTTGCTCATTTTTTTCAACTATTTATAAAAATACCTATAACAAGTTTTGGCTATCTACAAGATATAAAACGGTACTGAACTAAGCTTACATAAAAACTCAGAAATACTTTGAAGATAGACGTAACTTTTCAAAATATTCTGATAAAAAATTACAGAGAATAATAATTCAATAAAATTTCCTCAAGCTTCATTAACCAAAAATTTAAATTCGAATGCTCTTTTTATTGCAAAAGTAAAACAAAAATCATACATGGAAAAAATGTTTAGTGATTTTCCCAATCATAGAAGCATTGTGTCGGGTCAGGCAGCATCCGCTGAATTTTTATTTTATTATTATTTATTAAGCTAAATTATGGACATATCGCCTTAGATAGGCGCGTTGAAATCAAGCGGATGAGACAAAGTCGGCTTGCGACCATTTTAAGAGAGCTTTATCTTCGCAATGTCTATGCCGGGCCGCCCTCTCCGCTATTGAGAGCTTTAGCTTAGTGTATGTCTAATCGGGCCGCGCTCTCTGTCCATACAGAAATGCAGACTAAATAAATTATAACGTACAATTCTTAAATTCGGCCTTTTTATTTTCGAGCGGATTTACGTCATTGAAAACCCTCAATGACCAAACACATTGGGTCAACGCCATTGGCGTTCATCAAAATCGGAATAAAAGAAGTATTTTACGAATATCTCACCAACAAAAAAATGGTAAAATATGAATTCTTACAAAAAGGGTTTCGAAAGATTTCAAACTTTAGTATTTTTTTTGTTGTTTTTAAATTATTTCAAAATAGTAACACATTTGGTTTTTTTGAAACGTTTTTTCTAGTAAGATCAGGTTAATTAATAAACAAGAAAGGAAAGCTAACCTCGGGCGGAGTCGAAGTTGATATACCCTTGCAGTTAAAACCGTATATGAATCGCAAACATCGGATATAGTTGGCCGATCCTCATGAAAATAACATAACATAACTAAAAAAAAAAAGCCCCTAGCTTTAATCTTCAAAAGTACCAAAGTTGGTATTTTTACCAAATACCATTTCCGATCAATCAGTTACATAGCCGCTATAGGATATAGTCGGGCGATACCGGCCGTTCCGACCTATATGTATGCGGGCAAAGCAAAGAAGGGTGTGTGAAAAGTTTCATGATAGTGCTTACTTGGCAATAATATTTCATTATTTATATATATTAGTTTCATATGCATGTGTGCATATGCAGCATATGCGGCTGTAATATTGCAATACTAATATTAGTATTCAATGTAATATTTTCAAACATTTGTTTTTTCACATTGTTGGGAAAATACAACTGTTTTTAATATACATTTGAAATAGATTTCATTAATTGGCTTTTATTTTATCACCTTTAAGGTCTTCATGCCGCATGTTCAAGACGCATCTTAAATCTGAACATATCACGTCAAATGCTGATCATGCAATTGGCTGTTGGCTTCCTGATTTCGGGACTTTCCTTGTGGATACTTCGGCTGGGACCTATTCGTTCCGTACTAATCAATCCATATTTAAGTGGCCTATCAGTGAGTTTTTACATTAACAGAACATTAGCTGTCACAGAATCACAACCAGTCTTTTATTTTTTGCAGTTACTCTTGTCTAGTGTTGTCGGTCTAATTATTTTGAGAAAGCACAGAACTGAACACAGACCATCGGAAAACTGTTATAAGGTGGAGTCTTGTTTATTGTCTATCCTGGCACTTATATTCTGCTGCCTGGCACTAGTCTGTGCCGCAATCGAGTTTTCAGAGTTAAGCTCCACCGTAAACGGAACGTGTGGACCAGCCACAAGTTCATTAATGCGCCAACACCACTGCACCTGCTTTTCACCAGCTGCTGACGATGCTGTTCTAGTGGAAAGAAGTCCGGGAATTGCAGCTCAATCAGGTGGGATGCAACCGACAAGCGGTGCAACGGACGTTAGGGAGGAGGATGGGTGAGTATGGCAAAAGAACGACATACATGTCGTATGTTTATTATCAAGCAATAAAATTCTTTTTGTTTTTAGCGGAAAACGGTGCAGGGGTTTTAGGACCGAGTGGAAGTATCTGTTGGCATTCTCGATGGTCCTTAATTCTTTAGGAATAATAACAACCTTCTTATGTATAACACTATTTATTTGTAGCCAGCCCCGTAGAAAAAAAATTTACACTTCCGTGTAAATTTACACTTCCGTGTAAATTTTTTTTATTAAGTGCACTATTTTCTTACATTATTTTTTATTTTTATATTTTTAAAAATAAATTTTAAAAAATTTGGTTTTTCTGAAATTTTTCTTTGTCGTCCTCTTTGTCTAACAATTATTCTTTGTAAAGAATATGGAAGAATTTAGAATGTAGAATTTAGGGAAATATTTTAATAAAAAAACAAGAAAGGAAAGCTAACTTCGGGCGAAGCCGAAGTTGATATACCCTTGCAGTTAAAACCGGATATATATCGCAACCATCGGATTTAGTTGGCCGATCCTTATGAAATTTGGTAGGTTGGATGAACTGACCAAAAATAGAATCTGTACCAAGTTCCAGCTTTCTATCTTCAAAAACACAAAAGTTGGGTCAATTCCGATCTTTCAGTTATATGGAAGCTATAGGATATAGTCGGCCGATCCTTATGAAATTTGGTAGGTTGGATCAACTGACCAAAAATAGAATCTGTATTAAATTCCAGCATTCTATCTTCAAAAACACGAAAGTTGGGTCATTTCCGATCGTTCAGTTATATGACAGCTATAGTCGGCCGATCCTTATGTAATTTGGCACGTCGTATTGTTTTGCCAAAAATAGCTCTCATGTTAAATTTGAACTCTCTAACTCTAAAAACACCAAAGTTATACCATTTCCGATCAATCAGTTATATGGCAGCTATAGGATATAGTCGGCCGATCCCGGTCGTTCCGACTTATATACTGCTTGCAAAAGAAAGAAGGGTGTGTGCAAAGTTTCAAGTCGATAGCTTTAAAACTGAGAGACTAGTTCGCGTGCGTCTGTCTGTCTGTCCCTTTCTACGCGAACTAGTCTCTCAGTTTTGAAGAAATTTGACATGAGAGCTATTTTTGGCAAAACATTACGTCATGCCAAATTTCATAAGGATCGGCCGACTATATCCTATAGCTGCCATATAACTGAACGATCGGAAATGACCCAACTTTCGTGTTTTTGAAGATAGAAAGTTGAAACTTAATAAACAGATTCTAGTTTTGCCCAGTTGATCCAACCTACCAAATTTCATTAGGATCGGCCGACTATACCCTATAGCTGCCATATAACTGATTGATCGGAAATGGTATAACTTTGGTGTTTTTAGAGTTAGAGAGTTCAAATTTGAAACGAGAGCTATTTTTGGCAAACCATTACGACAACTATATCTTATAGCTGCCATATAACTGAAAGATCGGAAATGACCCAACTTTCGTGTTTTTGAAGATAGAAAGCTGAAAATACAGATTCTATTTTTGGTCAGTTGATCCAACCTACCAAATTTCATAAGGATCGGCCGACTATATCCCATAGCTGCCATATAACTGAACGATCGGAAATGGTATTTGGTAGAAATATCAACTTTCGTATTTTTGATAGATAGAAGTTTGGGACTTTTTTTAGATTTTTTATTTTAGTTAATTAGTTGTAATATGATGTAATCATTAGGATCGGCCAACTATATCCGATGTTTGCGATATATATCCGGTTTTCACTGCAAGGGTATATAAACTTCGGCTCCGCCCGAAGTTAGCTTTGCTTTCTTGTTTTTAATAAAATAATTAAACATAAAATTCCATTAAAAGTTGCTAAAAATAATGAACTTGAACTTTACAGGATACAGCAATAATTTAATGCAAACAACTGAGATATTTTATAAAAGCATTATAATATGAAGATTGAAAAATATTTTTTTCACACAAAACAAGAAAGGAAAGCTAACTTCGGGCGGAGCCGATTAAATTCCAGCTTTCTATCTTCAAAAACACGAAAGTTGGGTCATTTTCGATCGTTCAGTTATATGGCAGCTATAGGATATAGTCGGCCGATCCTTATGAAATTTGGCATGACGTATTATTTTGCTAAAAATTTTCTCATGTCAAATTTTAACTCTCTAACTCTAAAAACACCAAAGTTATACCATTTCCGATCAATCAGTTATATGGCAGCTATAGGATATAGTCGACCGATCCCGGTCGTTCCGACTTATATACTGCTTGCAAAAGAAAGAAGGGTGTGTGCAAAGTTTCAAGACGATAACTTCAAAACTGAGAGACTAGTTCGCGTAGAAACGGACAGACAGACGGACAGACGGACATGCTCATATCAACTCAGGAGGTGATCCTGATCAAGAATATATATACTTTATATGGTCGGAGATGTCTCCTTCACTGCGTTGCACACTTTTGGACAAAATTATAATACCCTCTGCAAGGGATTAAAAATATTTTCTGCATGACCTGCTTGGACCATGATACAATTATCCATTGTATCATGGCTTGGACAACTCATAAAGGAATGAATTTGTCCCAAATACAAAGCCTTTATTGTTTTAAACATTTTAAAATAGTTATTAAATTAAATAGTATATAAATTAAAATGCGAGATCAGATTATAAACTTTTAATAGTAAAATAGTAATACTAGTACTAATTACTTTTAATAGTAATTATTCACCGTTACTTGTTAAATGAAAACATAAACAAGAAAGGAAAGCTAACTTCGGGCGCAGCCAAAATCAGTTATATGGCAGCTATAGGTTATAATCGGCCGATCCCGGCCGTTCCGACTCATATACTGCGTGCAAAGGAAAGAAGGGTGTGTGCAAAGTTTCAATTAGACTTTTAGGGAATAAGTTCGTTCGTTCTTTTTTTTAGGACTGAACTAGGTCGTTCATTGAGTGCTTTTCGTAAATTCAAACAATATTAAAAATAAATATAATATTACAAAAATTTAAAGTGTTTCCATATTTCACTGTGTTTTCTTTTTAGATACATTTCGCTGTTGTCTACTCAAAAGATTGTTTACACAAAATTTTGATTTTGAAAGCAAAGCCAACTTGGTGTGAGAGATTTGGTTCTCTTATGCATACTCATTTGAAAAAATAATAGAAAAAAGGAAACGAATCGAATGAATTGAGAATGTTGAAAACAGAGACTTTTCATTCGAATGATTCGAGTTGCAAATGTAAATAAAAGGCAATAAAAACAAATTAAATGCAGTGAATTTTTCTTCGATTCCAAAAAGGCTTTATATTTATGATTTTTCATTTAATTTATTTCTAAATTAACAATAATTTACAACTCATTTGAATGCAACAACATTTTTTTGTTAATATTTTCCGAATTAGTGGCTATTGGACAACGCTTTTCTGTAATTAAAGTTCTTGCGTTTGAAAATGTACGTTCCGAAGCCGTGATGCTCACTGGAATGAAAAGTATTTTGCAGCTTGTTTTGTGCAATAGCGGAAAAAACTGCTTATTTATATGCCACCAAGCTAAAGCATTAAAATCAATAGTGTATGCAACATTAATATGCACTTTTTTCACATGTCTAAAAGACATTGTCTACCTTTCTTTATAAAAAAAAACAATTAATTGCAACAAAAAATCTACAAAAAAAACGCCCAAGCTTCTATCTTCAAAAATACCAAATTTGGTATTTTTACAAATTTATAATACCCTCTACCCTATAATAATGCATGAGTATAAAAATCGATGAGGTTTATATAATAAACATGTGCTCTTAAAAGCCAGAAACTCCACCCGGTTTTCGAAAATCAGAATTTGACCAAACTGTACCATTATTCTGGACGATGCCACAGATAACAGATCCGCGGTGCTCGTAGCGCTCACATTTATGTCCTCGCTGCCGCAAAAGATCAACGTATTTCTGAATTAGTCCATATTCGTAGAGAAGAACGTTGGGTGACATCTGATGGTGGATACGACTGGCATCGATGGCATTTTTTATGTTTGCCTTTTGCCACAGGACGCGCACTAGTAGAGGAACCAAAGATGAAATAATTTTTGCGCCTCCAGCCGCACCAACAACCAGCCGTACTCTGCCCGTTGAGCGCTCTGTAACGATTACCGGACTCATTGAGGACATAGGCCGGGCAGATGGAGCAACCATATTTTTTCCCATTACGAAGGGCAAATCAAAATAGTTTCGCAGCTGTTCTATGGAAAAATCCGACATGCCATTGTTAAAAAGAACACCTGTACGTTTGCCAATGCGGCCACTACCAAAACTGTAACGAAAATCCAAGACAGTTCCAATAGTACTTATAAAAGAACTAGACTTACTAAAAGTTTATCGAGCTAGTGACTGAAACGGCATCGTTGTCAAGAAGCACAGATATATGGGCGGTTCCATACTCGTTCCGTGTGCGTATATCCGAGGAACCTCCATAGAATGTAGACTGGTTAGAAGTCTTTAAGTCATCTATTTTATAAGCTATAGATTTTGATAGCTCAGGACTGAAAAGTTTATTTAAAATCTGAAAATATCAATATCAATTAAATATTATGCAAACAATCCAATATTTTCAAAAAACAAGCAAGAAAAGCTAGAGCAAGAGATATACCCTTGAAGTTCCGGTCTTAACTATCGCAAACATCGAATGTAGTTGGCCGATCCGATATTATAAAAATATCATAATATAATAATATTATAACATAATATAATAATATTATAACATAATAATGTTATACAATATTATTGTATTATCATAATATAAGCAATTTATTACAAAAATAATATATATAAAAACAAGAAAGGTAAGCTGATAGCTGAAGTTGATATACCGTTGCAGTTAAAACCGGAACCGGCCGATCCTTATGAGAATATCATAATAAAACCAATTAACTAAAATAAAAAATCTAAAAAAAAGTTCCAAGCTTCTATCTTCAAAAATACGAAAGTTGATATTTCTACCAAATACCATTTCCGATCGTTATATGGCAGCTATAGGATATAGTCGGCCGATCCTAATAATATTTAGTAGGTCGGATCAACTGACCAAAAATATAATATGTACTAAGTTTCAGCTTTCTATCTTCAAAAACACGAAAGTTGGGTCATTTCCGATCGTTTCAAGACAAATCGATCGTGCAAAGTTTCAAGACGATAGCTTTAAAACTGAGAGACTAGTTCGCGTAGAAACGGACAGACAGATAGACGGACAGATGGACATGCTCATAAATGCTTAAGAAATTTGTGTCGTATTATTTCGACAAAAGTAGCTCTTACGCAAAATTTGAACTCTCTAACTCTAAAAACACCAAAGTTGTACCATTTCCGATCAATCAGTTATATGGCAGCTATAGGATATAGTCGGCCGATCCGGGCCGTTCCGACTTATATACTGCGTGCAAAGGAAAGAAGGGTGTGTGCAAAGTTTCAAGACGATAGCTTCAAAACTGAGAGACTAGTTCGAGTAGAAAGGGACAGACAGACAGACGGACAGACGGACATGCTCATATCAACTCAGGAGGTGATCCTGATCAAGAATATACATACTTTATAGGGTCTGAGATATCTCCTTCACTTCATTGCACACTCTTGTCTAAAATTATAATACCCTCTTCAAGGGTATAACAAGAAAGGACGGCTATAGTCGAGTTTCCCGACTATATTATACCCGGTACTCATATCTTCTACCCACAATTAAACTAACCATTAAAGTTTAAAGTTTAACGGTTTTAAAAGGTTTTAAAGTTTAGGTTTCAAAATTTTGAAACAAACTTGAACTGCGTGATTATTGTAGGAGTCTGCAATTTAAATCCTATAATTCTATCTCTTCTGAGATCCACACGTTCATACGGACAGACGGACAGGCTATATCGATTCGGCTGTTGATGCTGATCAAGAATATATATACTTTATAGGGTCGGGGATGTCCCCTTTACTGCGTTGCACCCTTTTGAGAAAAATAATAATACCCTGCAAGGGTATAAAAGTATGCCGCTGTTTTAAACAGCATGCCGCTGTTCTATGGAAAAGTTTTTAATGCCAGGTACAATAGTTTTAATAAATATAATTCAATATTTACTTGGATCCGAAAGAGACAGCTTTATAGTGAATAATTGTGGGCGGTATATTGAATGATTTCGTTTCACTAAATTGCGTCAAGTGGAGTTGGGAATAAATCGATTGACAGCGCATCGATTTCGATGTGTTAGAAAAAAAACATCCATTTAATGTACCGGATGATTTAATGGAAATATCGTTTTTTTTTCATTTATTGTGATCCAATAACACAAGCCAACAAAATCGTTTTTTTTGTACTTCACCCATAATTCCACTTACTCCACAACCTTTGCGCTCCTCTTAAACAAAGTCGAGAACAAACCATTTCCGTTCCATCATCCGCTGTACACAGATTCCGCTGTACACCTATGCAAGAGAAGAAATTGATCAAATTTTACTATATATATAATTATGTAGGCCCTGAATTTGCGATGAACAGCTTTCTTTTTATCCATATCCTGATCCGTTTCCAATTAAAATTAATGAATTGTACTCTACGAGTACCGGGTATAAATAACCTTGACGAGTTAAAAAAAACGGTGGCGAACCCGCAAGCCACGCACAAAATATCTGATATTATTTTTTTTACAAAAAAAAAGCAATATAGGGAAAACTATTTTTATTCGGCATGTCAAAAAAAAAACGAAATAAGACAGACACGTGCCGTGGATTCAAAGGTTTCTATTTTTGGCTAATCGATCCGGCCTACCAAATTTCAAAGGGATGGGCCGACTATTTTTTACAGCTGCAATACAACTGAACACTAGGAAATGACCCAACTCTAGTATTTTTGAAGATAAAATATTATGACTTTTCTTACAATTTGTATTCTAAGATCATGCAGTTCGTTACTGTTATTTTACCTTATCAAGATGTTTTTTTTATTTCATAGATAGAAGAGAAAAATAGTACGTAGTACCTTAGTATCAGATTTTTCATCCAGCTGCCACCGCTGAACAAACCCAAACTTCATGGCCTCCACCATTCGATGTATCTGTAAGGCGCCTATGCTTTGAGCTTCTTCAAAATCCATCCGGAATTCTCGCAAAATGTTAAGTATAAATCCCAGGATGTAGCCACTGCCAGGTGGCGGAGTTAGATGCAGGTCGTACTCATCGAACGGTAACACGACCGATTCAGTGAATGTAGCCCTGGTGTTGGCTAGGTCTTCCTTGTCAATGACACTGCCAATTTCTTTTAAGTCGGCTGCCAAATCATCTGCAATAGATCCGTTGTAGAAGCTGTACGGTCCTTCCAAAGCCAGCCTTTCGTACGTCTCGCACAATTGAATTGGAGGCTGTATATGACTTCCGGTACGCCAAAACTGCCCCGAATCAGAATTTACAAACATGTTTCTCAGGCCGGGATCTCTCTTAACCATCTCTTGGTTCATAATAAGGGCGTCGTACTGGTGCTTGTAAAGTCTGTATCCCCTGCGGCACAGCTCCGTGGTAGGGCCTACAAGCTCTGACCACGATAAGCGACCGAACTTCTGGTGAGCTATGGCATAGCCAGCCATTTCAGTTGGCACAGCAATCGACCAGCTAGACTGTTTGAACTCTTCCTCCTCCCGAAAGACCGATAGATTATTTTCCCGTAGCAAACGCGGAGAAATTTCGCGAGCCAGTATGCTGTACGACTTGCGCGCTTTGTGGCTATAAACGTTCATGAGCATACCGCCGCCCAGCCCCATACTTTGCATCCCGATAAGTCCAGTGCAAAATAGAGACACCAGGGCCCCGTCCACCGCACTTCCTCCTTTTTTCATGGCACTTTTAGACAGAAGACTGCAAACATTGTTGTCACTACAAACTGCAGCTCGGGAAAATCTATATAATGGTGAATTCGACGGGGGGAGGGGCGTTTCGGGATTTGGAGGACTTTTGACTACATTTTTTGGAGCTATAAAGGGAAATATTATTAATTACTGAGAAACTACTGGCAACACAGAGACACTAGCTTACGTGGATACCTCCAAAAATATCCTGTGGCTAAGATTCCAATTGTGACGGTAATAAGACTATTAACAGTAAGTCCTACAAACATTTTTTTCTTTTGATGGATTTTCCCGTGGCAAGACAAGTATTATGTAGTAATTAACTTAAAACTCACAAGACTATATATTTGATAAGCAAGCAGCAAGCAATGCTGCGATTGATTTAAAAAAGTAATAATAATTTGCAATTGATACTAAGTCCTTTCAATTTCAAAAAAATCAGCTGGCCTTAAGGTGGGACCGAAGCACGCAAATTCAAAAATACTAAATAAAGAAAATAAAGCTGATTGTACAGCCTAGTACTCAGATTGACAAAAACTGGTTTTCAGCTATGGGAGTGAGCGAGAGCCACATAGGTTATGTCCGTCAAATTAGCGTCGAAGTGGAACGGTGAAATTGGAACACAGCAACGAACTTTTGGTTTTTCAATTATTTCTGTATTTAGCCACTAAATTTAATTAAATAAACACTAGAAATGTTAAGAATTTAATAAACTATTGTTTTTTCTTACTTTAAACGGGTTCTACACTCTTAAAGTTGCTTAAAAATGGGTTTGAAAAATTGCCCCTTCGCTGTATTGAGCATTATCTCAAAAATAAGGGGATGCGACAATAAGCACGATACACCAGCTTATAGACCATTATTTTGAGAATATACCCTGAAAATTTCATTAAAATCGCTCCATACGTTTTGGAGAAAATCGAATAAAAGTGGACCAACCCGGCTAACAGCCCATACAAAAATGACCCCAAAAAAAATTGCTTTAAAAATTGTGAAGCTCCAAAAGGATGCGCCAATATGCACGGTAGTGGAGTCGATGTAGGACGTTTTTAAGTATGTATGGACCAAAAATCATACAAATCGCTCCCACAGATTTTGAGAAAATCGAATTACAGTTCCCCATATAATTTGACTAATAAGAGGAGCGCCAATTAGTAAACCGGAACCAGTCCGCAAAAAGTTCATTGAACTAGTTTAAAAATACTATATGGCCTCTGTTAAGCTTATTTAGTTCTTCACAAAGGATGCGCCAAATTGCACGGTATACCGTTGAAAAGCTTATTTTATACAGAACATTATAAGATAATTTTATCAAAATCGCTCCCACAGATTTAAAGAAATCAAGTCCCAAAAAATTTCAGACCCTGATTCACCAACACTGGCCATTAACAGCATTACATATTTCTGCGCTGCCTTAGACGACGCCCGCCATTATGGAACTTGAATGCCCACCCTCGCTTTTTTTTTTACAGAGGATGCGCCAATATGCACGGTATACCACGAGAAAGCTAATTTTTTGCCCATTCGAATAGTACCAGTCCCGTTAAAATCGCTCCCACAGATTTTGAGGAATCAAGCCCCGAAATTTTCGGACCCTGGTTCGCCAATACTGGTCATTATCATTTTCCCGTATTTTGACGCTGCCCAACACGGCAGCCGCCATTAGAAAAAGAGCTTATGTACGTACATACATACATACACATATGGAAACAACGATCATGGATGCTGCAAAAATGGTAAGTAAATGTATATTTATGAATAATATAATAAAAAAAAGAATAGTTTTCGCTGTCGTACTGCAAGAAAAAAATTGACTTAATTTAATATAATATAATATGATTAATAAAAATTTAACTTTATTAATAAAAATTTAACTTAGTTTATATTATATATCATAATATAATATAATTATTAAAAATTTAACTTAATTAATAAAAATTTAACTTTATATATTATAACTATATATATTAAGAACGATAATTAATTTAGAACCCCCTTGTTTTAATTAAGAACGACAGTTTTGATTGTTTGCGGACAAAACCTCGATACTATCGCGATGCTATCGCTCATATATAAACATTCGGTGTATTCATGTAAAACCAACATATTTAAAATAATTTTTTTTTAGGGAAAACCCCTATTATATTGGTTTTACATGAATACCCCTGTTTTAATTAAGAACGCATTTAGTTTAAATTCAAATGAGATCTTTTTAATTCATATTTGGAAGGAGAAATTAAATCACATATATTTGGTTAAAACCAATTTTTGTCGACAAATAACAGTTTGTGTCACAGATTGTTAGAGACTAGAAACTAGAGAAAATTAGTATATATTAAATTTTTTTGTGTACAAAATATACGTACCTTTTTATTCGTTCGAAGTAAAAGTGATGAAGTGACAAGAATTTTTTGTAAAACTATCGTGATAGTCTGAAAAATATCGAAGTTGGTGACCGGTGGCCAACCATCGATATTATCGATGGTACTATCGATTTTATTTTGCAGCTTTACACTACAACACAGTACAAATATTAAGGTGAAACTAGGTTACATGTTTTTGTTTACTCCATTTGAAAAATGTACTTCAATTTAGCTTTTACCTTTTCAGAGGGTACACAAATACACACATTACAAAAACAACACGATCAATTCGTACAATTGACACCCACAAACACTTAGTACAAACCCCTTTGGTTCGACTGCATATTAAACATTGAAGTTTTAAATCCTTTTAGTCCACTAAATACTCTTTTAAAAAACGCAAAAAAACGTTTTTTATCGGCACTAACAGTGAACTTTGACAGCTAATAACGTAACAGTGACGTTCTCTGTTAACGTTTCTGTTATGAATCATTGAAGCTTGATGTTATCTTAAGGTAATGACGTCAATAGATCCTTTTTAAGGACTTTTAAGAAATGACTTATGGCCACAAAAAGTGGTCAGTGGCTCCATATTGCGACGATTCAGAATAACTTGGTACTTTTCGACTTTCAAAATTCCATCAATTAATGCCAGAACACCAAAGCCATAATAAAACAAGAAAGCAAAGCTATCTTCGGGCGGAGCTGAAGCAGATTTGAAACGATCAATCATGATAAATCGTGAAAGGATTCCATCCTTGCGGTACTTCGTCTACTTCTTCTTTCCTGAGCCTGGCTAATGCTTTAGAGTTCTGGTTTTCTCAAAATTTTGTAAGGAATTCTCGAAAGAAGACTTACTAAAGCCAACGTTATCGCTTATTCCTCGGAAGCTTAAATTCCGAGACAGCTTCAGTCATTTTCGACATGTTTCATAAAAAACACAAGAAGCTTAATAATTAACAAAATTCTTTCAGATCATGAAAGCTAAACCCTTTCGGATATAACGAAAAAATTTCAACTCGATATAATAGCATCATTTTGATCAATCACAAATCATTTCAATGCCATTTTGTGGCATTAAAATGCCCCTTGTGGGTCAAATCCCATATTATGGGATTCGCCTTGACCGCACCCTAGTGATGCCACCTAGTCGGACATGGTTGGCCCCAGTGATGCCACCTAGAAGTATACAGGGAAATTTGGGATTTTTTTTTGAGGGGTTGTTGACCCGAGACGGGAAAGATTAGAAAGAAGGCAAGTGTCGAATGGTGGATCAAAATGTGAAAAAACTGAAAGCCCGAGCAAGCAGGAAGTGAAAAAAAAATAGAAGGATAATTCCGAGGAAAAATCTCAAAGGAAGAGACGGGAGGCAGGATCGGCGAACAATACAGGAAAGAGGTCGGTCCTGGAAGGAGAGCCATGGCTAATGGATTTCTACTTTCCAGACCGACCAGACCCGTTTATCCGGATAGGGAAGCCAGGCCTGACAAAAGAAAAAATGGGCCTGGCGATTTTTTTCTTCTCATTGTTAATTCCGGGGTGGATGAACCTCAGACCAGGCAAGCCGGCATTTTCATTTGGTTCTTCCATGCATACGGTGCTTCCATTTGGTTTTTTTTGGGGGCCATCAACTGCGCAAAGTGCGGCCCGCATAAAAATCTAAAGATTAAATAAAGAGGCCAGAACTCCTGAACGAGGACATCCCTTCAGAGAAAATACCTATTATCCGATCATATCTACGATTACAGTAGAGGAAACCCCGCCATAGATTCAATGATTATTTTTTTTTATATAAAATAGTATTTGTTTGGTCATCGAGAGTTTTCGATGCCGTAAATAAAAGACGAATTTAAATTTAGTATGAACGTTATAAAAATGTTTATTTATGCCTGCAGATGAAGCCGGATGATCATCTGATATACCAGCTTATGGTGCATGCAGAGACTAAAGTAAAATACAGAGAGGGAGGCCCGACTGGTCACTGCGAAGCTAAAGCTCTCGAATAATGGAGAGGGCGGCCCGACCTAGACACTGCGAGCTAAAACTCTCTATAGAAAGCCCGTTGAATCGAGCGGCCGAGAGAGAGTCGGCTTGCGATCAACTAAGCTTTTGTATAAACTTAAGCCATAAATAAACATTACCAAACATTACGCTAACATATTTAAACATTAAAACTACACCGCTGCTGCCTGACCCGACAGTATTTATTTTATTGTGTATTTGTTTGTTAATTATTTTTTTCTTTTGTTACATTTTTTTTTTTTTTGTATTGCTTGTATGTAATTATAAGGTCCTATTTAATTTTATGGCCGTGGAAGCTAGAAGATTTAATTTCCCTTCATGGTATGGTTGTCCCAAGTCGCAAGAGAGCTCTTCTAGGTAGGGAATATTTGAAACCAAATTCGTGTGGTTAAAAAGATAAAAAAAAAGGAAAACGGAAAAAAGGAAAGCTTCCTGAAAGCGAAGCACAAACTCGGAGCCTAAATTGTTTAGATCATTAAATTGAAATAAAAATTAATTCAAGAAAATGCATTGTGAGTAGAAATATACGGCAGGGGGAATGAGGAAGGGATAATGGGAAAGTAGAAGGGGGATCGGGTGTTTGACTTAGGGGCGGACGCAAGAAAAGGCCAGCGTTCCGCTAAGGATGGGAGGGAAGGCCACAAAACTCCAAGCCAACAGGAGCATTAAGATCTGTGATTCGATAGGGTAAGTATAAATGTTACGTGTGTTAGGAATAAGAATCTGAAATTTGAATGTTGTGGGAGAAGGACCAAAATCGAACCCTTTAAAAAATAGAATAGAAATTAATATAATTCTAAACTGAACGGCATCTTGACTATCAACCATCAATAAAATTGATGATTAGAATAGTCGACAATGCCAATTCTAACGCCTACCCTAATTCCAGGGAATCACATATCCGACGAAAAACACTCAATCCGATACCAAGAAGTCTTTCCTTATAGCCCCCAGTTGGAAAACTGAATATAAAAAGTCGTGATTGAGAATTGAGAATTTGTTTTGATAAGAGTATGTGAGTATAGATTTATTTATTTAACTTTTTTTTAATATATTTATTTGTTTATTTTTTTATATATATTTATTTATTTTTTTATTGATATATTTATTTATTTAATTATTTTTGTTATACATATATATTTTTATTTATTTATTTATATTGTTTTTTAGTATTCAGTTGGGTATAGATTTATTAGGCGAGTTAAGACAGATCTCCTGGTAGATAAATAAACCAAAACTCCGAAATCCGAAAAAAAAACTTCCGAATCACACTTCCATGGGCAGTCCGAGTCTTTCGATGCTCGAAGAAAGGGAAATGGATTTGGACATGGAAGGGGGCGCACAGGGCGGTACGGAAAATAGAGAGACCGGTCGGCTCAGCGCACAACAAAGGGGGGCGATTCCGAGAAACCTCAGCTTGGATCAAGCATCCTCTCCATTTGGGACCTATTCCCATCTTCAATTAGACCCCATACAAGAGCAATACAGCATGGAAAACGCGGAGACCTACGCATCGTTTAATCGTCGGGAGATTCAAGCCCTCATACACACATCTCAAGAGCAGCTAAGGGTGGATCTCAGCCAGTTGGTAGATCGAAGGATCGACGCGTGCATAAGGACAGGATTCGAGCAGATTATCCGGAAGACAGACCAAAGCAGGGAAAAGATCCCGTCCTCTAGATCCTCCGAGTCCTCAATGACGACGCAGTTGGAGAATAATCAGCCGGCAGGGTCTGCAGACGGTTCTTCTAGTACAGGAATGCGCCAGGAGGACAAACGAAAGGCGGAAAAGCCTGCGATTTCACTAGCACCACCGAGCTCCGGTGAGGGAAATAACGGGAGACAGGGAGATGCGCCGAAACCGAATGATCTAAACGTCTTCCTTAACCGAGTAATGGCGGAAAGAAATCAAAGGGCGGAAAGAGGGTCGCAAAGAGACGGGCTTAGGAACGAAAATACAGGAGGGACGTATCGATTACCACCGGGACAGGAATCAAAGCAGAGAAGCTGGCAATGTGTACCCGTCGATAAGTGGGAATGTCAGTTTTTCGGGCGTCCAGGAACGATGAGGGCGGAGGATTTCATATTCCGAGTGGAACACCTACAAAAGCAGTATGCGATGCCATGAATTAAGCTGCTACGGGACTTCCACCAATTGCTGACCGAGGTGGCATCTGAATGGTACTGGCTACTTATAAGGACAAAGACGCCACATGACTGGAGAGAATTAAAACAAGAAAGGAAAGCTAACTTCGGGCGGAGCCGAAGTTTATATACCCTTGCAGTTAAAACCGGATATATATCGCAAATATCGGATATAGTTGGCCGATCCTTATGAAAATATGATAATATAACCCAATTTATTATAATACAAAACCTAAAAATGTCCCAAACTTCTATCTTCCAAAACACAAAGTTGGGTCATTTCCGATCGTTCAGTTATATGGCAGCTATAGAATATAGTCGGCCGATCCTAATGAAATTTGATAGGTTGGATCAACTAACAAAAAGTAGAATCTGTACCAAGTTCCAGCTTTCTATCTACAAAAACACGAAAGTTGGGTCATTTCCGATCGTTCAGTTATATGGCAGCTATAGGATATAGTCGCTCGATCCCGGCCGTTCCGACTTATATACTGCGGAAGGAAAGAAGGGTGTGTGCAAAGTTTCAAGACGATAGCTTTAAAACTGAGTGACTAGTTCGCGTAGAAACAGACAGACAGACGGACAGACAGACGGACAGACAGACGGACAGACAGACGGACAGACGGACAAACGGACAAACGGACAGACGGACATGCTCATATCAACTCAGGAGGTGATCCTGATCAAGAATATATATACTTTATAGGGTCGGAGATGTCTCCTTCACTGCGCTGCACACTTCTGGACAAAATTATAATACCCACTGCAAGGGTATAAAAAGCCATCCAACGCAGATATTATGACAACAGAAGCAATTATGATCGAATAAAAGATATCGCGGAAAGAAAACAATGGCAGGAAGAGTCGCTGGAGGAGTATTTCATATCATTATGGTACCACCAGTAGGTACCATAAAATCAGGAGTGGAGAATGATTGGATCATCAAGACGGCAAAATGAAATCTGCTGGAGCCGATGAGGCATTGGGTCTATCCGATCCGGGTGTACATACTGGAACACCTACACGACGAATGTAAGGAGGTAGAACGGGTCCTAATTCCGGAGCGAGGAGCAGGGTATAGGCAACGCATGACCACTGGATACAAGCCCCGGGATGATCCACGTGTAGGAAGACTGGAGGAGGTGCATCCTTATTGGGCAGGCGAATCAGTCGAAGGAGGCGGAATGGAAAGGTCGGAGGAAACAGTGGCGGCAGTCGTCAACGGCGCACCCCGGAAAGTGATCAAGTGCTGGAACTGTCAGCAAGAGGGTCACGTCTACATGGACTGCGTAGCGGAACAGCGAAGGATCTTCTGCTACAAGTGTGGGATGGCGAACACCGTAACGCCAAAATGTCCGAACTGTAGGCAGAGAAACGTCAATAGGAAAGTTGGGGTAGCGGGCAACCAACGTTCAGCGACGGAGCCCGAGGTCCAGAGGAGGCAGTGAGCTGGATAAGTATAGCAAGAAGAAAATCCGTACCCGACAACCAAGATGGAGCCGGAAAGTTAGAAACAAAACAAAACAAAAGGTGATTGAGAGCTTGGAGGAGAGGGTGCGACGGTACAAAGAGACGATGGAGAGAATCTTCCGGCAAAACCAGCTGGTGGGGATGACGATGGTCACGAGAAGGGTCAAAAAGATCCGAGAGCGCTTTAGAAGAAGGAAAAAGGAACGCCAGGGAGTAAGCAGCTCGGTGATGTCAATGACACGAGGGGGAACCAAGATTGACCAAGATGAAAGGGGTGTTGGATTCTGGAGCTTCGGTCAGTTTGGTCGGAAGAGGCTGCAGAGAATGGGTGGAGCGTCTAGAAATTCCATGGAAGCCGTGGCACGCAAAGGTCCGGACAGCGAACGGACCACCGCAGCAAATCTTGGGCAAGGTGGTGGTAGAGGTGGAGTATAAAAATAAAAAAAGAGAAATCTTGTTCTACCTAATAGGTAGTACCTATGTCCATCGTTGGAGCAAGAGTTATACCTGGGAGTGAATTTCTGACAGGAGCTCGAGATTGTCACAGAATTGTTTGGAGTAGACGAAGTAGAAATGGCCCAGGAGGAGACGAGCAGAACAGTTGCGAAGCAAGGTAAACATGAACATCATAAATTGAGTGAAGCGGAGAGTAAACACCTGGAGAGTCTCCAAAAATCCTTCCTGAATTTCGAAGAAAGTGGATTAGGAAGGACTGCGGTCATGAAACATACCATCGAGCTGACTGAAGGGCCCACGCCTATCAGGGATCGACACTATCCCGTATCTCCAGCAGTACAGACGCTGATCTATCAGGAAGTCGATGAGATGCTACGACTCGGAGTGATAGAGGGTGGCGTGTCAGCGCGTGGAGCAACACCATCACATTAGTCCGGAAGGCAGAAAAGAACCGTCTCTGCCTAGACGCCCGGAAGCTGAATAAAAACACGATCAAGGACGCATATCCGCAGCAAAACATTGAGGGGATCTTTAGTCGTAAAAAAACAACAAGGTACATCTCCAGTATGGACTTAAAGCATGCGTTCTGGCAGATAGAGTTGGATGACGCCAGCAAAAGATATATGGCTTTCACGGTACCGGGACGTCTGTTGTACCATTTCGTGGTTATGCCATTTTGGTTAACGAATGCAGCCCAGAGGTTGTGTTGGCTCACGGACAAAGTGATACGACAGGAACTCAGGGAAAGCGTCTTTGTGTACCTGGACGACTTGTTGGTGGTATCGGAAAACTTTCAGGACCACACGATGACGCTGGAGGAGGTTTCCAGAAGCTTGAAGGCGGCAGGACTGATAATAGGCCTGAAGAAATCGCACTTTTGTTTTAAGGAGCTGCGTTATCTGGGCTATGTGATTGACGGAGGAGTGGTGAGGACCGATCCAGAGAAAGTGGAAGCGATCAACAGGGTGGCTGTGCCAAAGAGTGCCAAGGAATTTCGGCGATTCCTCGGGATGGCAGGATGGTACCGAAGACTCATACGGAACTTTGCAGAACTGGCGACACCGCCGACGGATACTCTGAGAAAGAGCAAATTTGCAATGACGGAGGAGGCAGAGAGGTCGGTGAAGGAGGCACTGACTACGGCGCCAGTCTTGAGACATCCTGATTTTAAAAGTATATTTTATGTGCAGTGCGATGCTTCGGACACAGGGGTAGGAGCAGTGCTGTTCCAGAAAGCGAGCGTCCCATAGCCTTCTTTTAGCCGTGGATCATGTCCGTAAAGAACCTGGCCGGAAGGTTGGCTAGGTGGTCGTTCAAGCTACAACCGTACCAGATGGCAATCGAGCACTGCAAAGGGACCGAGAATGTGATGGTAGACACACTATCCAGGATGTTGGAAGCCGTCGAGAAGCCTGAAGAAGACTGGATGCTCGGATTACAAACAACCGAATTTGAATCACCACAATATGTGGAGTTGAGGCAGGTGCTCGAGACGGAGAAAGAGACGTTCCCGGATATTAAGGCTGTGGACGGCTACGTGTTCAAGCGAACGGAGTGCAGAACCGCAGCGGAGTTGGAGGAGAACATTTGGAAGTTTTGGGTACCAGCCTCTGAGTGTGGCCATGATAGACCAGGCGCATTCCCCACCTAATAAGGCCCACGGAGGAATGGGTAAAACTTTGCATCGTTTGATGCAGCGTTTTTCCTGGGAATGGTTGCTCAGGTCCGAGCTTTTGTGAGGGACTGTCAAACGTGTAAAGAGACGAAGCCTACGAATAGCGGCCCGCGGCTAGGCATAGGGACCTATAGGCCATTCCAGAAACTCTATATAGACTTCCTAGGGAAGTATCCGAGGTCGGGTAAAGGGCACGCTTATATATTTGTTGTGGTAGACCACTTTTCGAAGTACGTCTTCCTGAAGGCGATGAAGGAAGCAACGACGGCAGAAGTGGTGAAGTTCCTGGTGGGAGAGATATTTCACACTTTTGGAGTTCCCGAGACATCCATTCGGACAATGGGAAGCAATTCGTGGTAAAACGTTTTAAGGAGATGGCGGAAGAATTCCACATCCGCCATGTCAAAACAGCGATGTATTCCCCTCAGTCGAACGCAGCGGAGAGAGTGAACTAGTCGGTGTTGAACGCTATTAGAGCGTTTAGAAAGGATACCATTTCTTGGACGTTGTACCGAAAAAATGGCGTCAAAGCCCGAAAAACACGACAAAAGTTCAAAAATGTCAGTTTCTTGTGAAAAAATTGTATCCTTTTTGTTTTAATTAACTAAAGATCTATTTTTTTCAAAAGCTACATCATTTAACTATTAAAAAACGTCGGAAATTTTAAAATCCACTTAAAGTTACGCGTTAAGGAATTTTTAAGAGCAAAAAAGTCCCGAAAACCCGTTTTTTCTAAATAAATCAAGATTTTGAGGGTGTTAGAAATATTTCAAACACGGTTTTGTACTATATTCGACCTAATAAACAATTCCTACTAGGTCTTTTCAAAAGTTCCAAATCCCTGTCGCACTGTGTTATTTGCAACGCCTAAGATAATTGTTTAGTCGTAACTTGTTTAAAAAATAATAGGTGAGGGAAATATGTAGAACTCGAAACTTGGGCTACTTAGCTATGAGACGGGGCATAGCAAGCTACGTGCAAATAAAATAACCCCCAACGAGCCCGAGCTGCAAGATCTCTACGTGTGTTCCTTACTCCCATATTTATGAGAAATATTTGAATTGTACCGCCTAAAAATATTATCGCTCTGTTAAGTTCTCGTTCTTGTTACTCGCTGCGTCGCAGTTTCGAAGGAAAGAATAGAAGGAGCAGATAGAAACTAGTAATAAATGAACTTCCATTGAATTCGGTTGATTAGTTTCTACTGGGACCAGAGTTGCTGGCCTGAAACAGGCAATTTCGCAGTTTGCCATTTTGGAGCAAACAATAATTATTACATTTCTTGAACTAAAAAAATGAACTATTGAACTAAAAAAATGTTTTCTAGAAAACAAAAAGGGTTGCCAAATAACGATTGCCAGGATTGGCTAGTAATACATATACAAAAAAATATTACTTCACTTTACTTGTTATTACTTAAAAATACTTTTCAAGCTCTGTCCCAGATATATGAAAAAAGGCAGTACCTATTCGACCAAATATAGATATAGTTAACTTATAGTATAAATGTAGGTAGTATACTAGAAATTAGTGTTCGGCAATGAATACGATGATATAATTTCAAAGCATAAGTATTAGCAACGAATATCAGAAATTAAGCTGTGTATTTCAAAGCATAAGTATTAGCAACGAATATCAGAAATTTATACTGTATGTGCGGCAGAGCTCGGGCAGAGAAATATTCTATGCCCCTGGAATAGGGCCCTGCCGATATATAAATGAAAAATTTGTTATGTTTAGTTGGCAAGGAAAAAAAAAGGAACGAAAATTATCCAATTCCAATACAGGGTAACTATGATAATATCAGACGTAATCTTGTTGCTGTTGGTCCCACTTCGCTCTTCAATCCATTGACGGTAATACTGGATATCCACATACACTCCAGGAAGCCCCGGTTCCGCACATCCATAGCCCCAAGAAACCACACCAACAACGCGTCCGTCATGAACCAAAGGACCTCCTGAGTCACCTTGACAAGAATCCGTGCCGCCCTGAAGGAGTCCGGCGCACATCATGCCAGGCAGTAATCCAGACTTGTAAATCGTCCGGCATGTGTGGTAGCGGATAGTGGTCACGTTGACAGTTAGCAAAATGTTCGACAAAGAGCTCTAAGGGGTATGTATTATTATTTTTATCATTATGTCCTTTGATCTCTTCCCACCTGCTCTGTTCGCCCCCATCCGGCTATTTGGCACACTCTGCCCGGCGGTGTAACCTCCCTTGTCAGTTGGATGGGAGTTGCAAATTGGGCCTGTAGCACCCTGGAGCTCAAAAACAATATGCCCACATCGTCGCGCATGGTGTCCGGACTAAAGGTGCTCATATAAGCCATAGAGCTCACCTGGGCCACAATTGTGCCATTTTGTCTCTCAAAGCGATTTAAGGTCCCCATGACCACGACAAATTCACTTGGCTGGCGATAGCGCTTTTTTTGATTGCTTTTGATAGAAAAGATTTCTAGGACAATAAAGAATACCTAAGGATGAAGCCCATTACTCACTTGTACAGGCAGTGGGCTGCTGTTAGGACCTTATAGACCGAGATTAATGCACCACCGCATATGTGGCCACTGCCGAAGTTGTTGTCATGCTTACGCAAACGTATGGATACTAAGTGGCGTGACTCATTTGCTTTGGCGATGCTGCCGTTGATGATTCGCGACTCCTGGAACAGTTTTCCAGCATGGCAATTGATAAGAATCCCCAAGAAGCAGGTACAGGCCAAAATCCAGCAGCGAGCCATGTTGTGCAACAGAGTTCCGTCAGATCGCGATTGTCACTAAATAATAAAATGCTAGAAGCTGCTGCCACAGCTGCTGTCTAACAATTGACAATCAGTGTTCTCCTATCTGTCTGATAAAAAGAAACAAGCTTATTATGTGGACATTTCTTACCTCATGTCTTCATAAAAATATACCCATTGGTGAAGCGGAAAAGTGTATATTTTAATGTACATACATATACATATGTACTACATTCTGTATTTTAATATAAACGGAATTATTAATGTGTTTTTTTCTTTACTCAAGGGTAAAAATTTTGAACTGTAGTATTTTGGATGAACCTCAACGCCCGATTTTTCTCAATTGCTCTAAATAGGCTTTATTTGGAGAAACATGTTGAAATTTTATACAAGACGCAAATGAAACACTCGCTATTTGTTAAGCTAGCCATGTAGTAAAATTGGCTAGCCATGCTAAATAATGATTATTAATACACCGCATAATCGTAATCGTACTTATGATTTTTTTTTAACTGGATATTGTATTAGTGATGTTGTTTCAGCATATTTCACATATGATATATATATATTATATGAAAAAGTCATGATATATATTTCGTTTCCAACTCAATGTCGACGAACAAGTTTCAAACACGAGTAATGGGCATATACATTTTCCTACGATCGCAACCAATACCTGAAGTTCAATCATAGTCAAACATATTTGATTTAAATTCTAACCGGTGCACTATAGAAAATTTGACCACTTTTTCTGGCCAAAAACCATTTTTTGAAAGTTAAAGGATTAAAATAATTTTAACTGCATATCATTCGCAATAGATTAATTTTTAATGTTGCATACCAGAAATTTTCATAGATGGCGCCACTGCGAAAAAATCAGGTGTTAAAAACAGCTTTTGATGTTAAAATTTACATGAGCTTAGAATTTACGATTTTTGGTGCGATTTTAAAAACGCGAATACTGAAAATTTTATGGACAAAATCAAAAGTTTTGAAATGAATACTTTTCAGTATGGTTTGTATTATGTGTTTGTGTATGTGAAGTATCCAAAAAAACTTGTGTTGTCTTTTTAATAAAGTGAAAACGTAAGCAGTCTAGCAAAAGACATTTTTAGAAATAAATCTCATTTTTAAAAAGAGATTTAAACTAAGTCCGACCGAGTCGGACATTGTAATTTAGTCCATGTTGTAGATTGTTTAATTTTCTTCAAATGAGTGAAATATGAATATGCCCTTTTATGCTCTTTCGAAGAAATTCATAATTTAAGGAGGCAACCTCAAAACCTTGAATGTGAATCTGTTAGCTGTGAGACTAGTGCAAAACCGATTTAAATTTAAAAAAAATAAAAAATTTTATTAAAAAACAAGAAAGCAAAGCTAACTTCGGGCGGAGCCGAAGTTGATATACCCTTGCAGCTAAAACCGAATATATAGCGCAAACATCGGATATAGTTGGCCGATCCTTATGATTACATCATAATAAAACCAATTAATTACAATAAAAAATCTAAAAAAAAGTCCCAAGCTTCTATCTTCAAAAATACGAAATTTAATATTTCTACCAAATACCATTTCCGATCGTTCAGTTATATGTCAGCTATAAGATATAGTCAACCGATCCTAATGAAACTTTGTAGGTCGGATTAACTGACCAAAAATAGAATGTGTACCAAGTGCCAGCTTTCTATCATCAAAAACACGAAAGTTGGGTCATTTCCGATCGTTCAGTTATATGGCAGCTATAGGATATAGTCGGCCGATCCTTATGAAATTTGGCATGTCATATTATTTTGCCAAAAATAGCTCTCATATCAAATTTGAACTCTCTAACTCTAAAAACACCGAAGTTATACCATTTCCGATCAATCAGTTATATGGCAGCTATAGGATATAGTCGGCCGATCCGGGCCGTTCCGACTTATATACTGCGTGCAAAGGAAAGAAGGGTGTGTGCAAAGTTTCAAGTCGATAGCTTTAAAACTGAGAGACTAGTTCGCGTAGAAACAGACAGACAGACAGACGGACAGACGGACAGACGGACAGACGGACATGCTCATATCAACTCAGGAGGTGATCCTGATCAAGAATATATATACTTTATATGGTCGGAGATGTCTCCTTCACTGCGTTGCACACTTTTGGACAAAATTATAATACCCTCTGCAAGGGTATAAAAAACACACCTATTTTTTCAAAAGAAGACTATGGCTTTATAAAACACTAAAAAAGAACCTAATTGAAATATCTTGCTTAGTTCTACAGTTAGCTGTTATTTTTAAATAGGGCGCGGTGCCACGCATACAATTTTTTCAAATCTTAAATCTGTTGACCATGTGAACTCAAATCAAAAATCAGAACTTAAATATCTTGTTTCTTTCTTGAGATAATATTTTTGGCCAGAAAAAGTGGTCATATTTCTTATAGTGCCGTGTTCTGTCACTTTGTGTTCGTTTATTTGTGCACACATACATTTGTATTTCTAGAAAGTTTTCTGCCGAGTAGCACGGTTTTCGTTTGAGGAAAATGGTGGAAAGCAATAAAATTTTGTTGGAAAAAATTAATTACGGTGAATGGACAATATTTTCAATAATACGCATTGCACCGTTTTTTTCCTGATAAATGCTAAAAACCAAAAAAAACGTTTAAAATTAATTCGAAGACCCAATATGTACCATATACAGGCAGACAGATCACATATGTAAGTTAAATTGTTTGTAGTTCGGTGAATTAAAAAAATGAAAATTTTATTTTTTAATTTCACAACTTGGTGTTAAACCTTTATTTATTAAACGCAAAATTACAAGACACTTTTGGTTTTTTCTTAAATACTTTTGTCAACCGTTCGCGGTCTCGGTCAAAATAGGACTGCCTTCTTAATTCTAAATCTGATCCAAAGAACCTCGGCCATCAGTTGTGTTTAGATTAGAGGCTTAAGATGAAACTGTCGCATCTTATTGTGAAATTCGATTAAGCTGATCGATGCAATTTGGTGGGTACTTGAAACGCAAAAGGCGTAATTGATTGGGCTTCGGAGGGAAGCTGATGTTTACTTTTGATTTTGATTTGTTTATGGGGAACCGAGATCGCGCCTCAGAGCCAAAGACAAAGCCGAAGGCAAATGCAGAGTTTGAAAATATTGTTTATAAAATTCATAAGTGGAAAGCCATAAGTGGCCTGGATTTATGGGTTGGATAATTGAGCCAAAGATCAAGCCAAAGGCAAATGCAGAGATTGAAAATATTGTTTATAAAAGCCATATGTGGCCTGTATTTAGGGGTTGGATAACTCTCCCCCTTCTAAAATGGATCGTCCCGATTCAATATGAAATTCGTTTAAATGATCTCTTAATTCTGTTAAAAAAATTTCTTGGTTAATAGATTTTTCTGGTTCAGGCCGATGTTTTTTGGTTACAAATAATATAGCATTTTTGTATTTTATAATAAGTGAAAGAATCAAAAATATAATGATTAAAATTAATTATATAAAGGTAATTGATATTTTAGTATTCCTAATTTTAACGAATGGGTTTAAAATGTTTATATTATCTAAAGAAAGATCAGAGTTATTTGATAATATGTAATCGGATATTTCATAATTTTTAAAGTGGTTCGTAGTTACGTATTCAAGAATTTTATTTTGCAAATTGGTATATGAGATATTATTAATTTTAGTTGTACCATTAAATGTTATTAAAAACGAACCGTTTAAATGGGAGTTGTTAACAATATTGTTCCCATTTATAAGGATGGCACCATCTTGTATGATGTCTATTTTTTTATTTTTATACCCTTGCAGAGGGTATTATAATTTTGGTCAAAAGTGTGCAACGCAGTGAAGGAGACATCTCCGACCCTATAAAGTATATATATTCTTGATCAGGATCACCTCCTGAGTTGATATAAGCATGTCCGTCTGTCCGTCTGTCCGTCTGTCTGTTTCTACGCGAACTAGTCTTTCAGTTTTAAAGCTATCGTCTTGAAACTTTGCACACACCCTTCTTTCCTTTGCACGCAGTATATAAGTCGGAACGGCCCGGATCGGCCGACTATATCCTATAGCTGCCATATAACTGATTGATCGGAAATTGTATAACTTTGATGTTTTTAGAGTTAGAGACTTCAAATTTGACATGAGAGCTATTTTTGGCAAACCATTACGACATGCCAAATTTCATAAGGATCGGCCGACTATATCTTATAGCTGCCATATAACTGAACGATCGGAAATGACCCAACTTTCGTGTTTTTGAAGATAGAAAGCTGGAATTTAATACAGATTCTACTTTTGGTCAGTTGATCCAACCTACCAAATTTCATCGGCCGACTATATCCCATAGCTGCCATATAACTGAACGATCGGAAATGGTATTTGGTAGAAATATCAACTTTCGTATTTTTGAAGATAGAAGTTTGGGACTTTTTTTAGATTTTGTATTGTAATAAATTGGATTATATATTCATATTCCCATAAGGATCGGCCAACTATATCCGATGTTTGCGATATATATCCGGTTTTAACTGCAAGGGTATATAAACTTCGGCTCCGCCCGAAGTTAGCTTTCCTTTCTTGTTTTCTCTTATTTTTTTACAGGTTGATTTCTCACCATTTAATAATCGGGTAAAACACGTTTTTTGGTTACTTAGAGTGCAATAATTATTAAAAAGTTCGTTCTTAAAATTAGACATTTCGTAAAAAATATTTTCGCATTTTGCGACTTGATCGCTTAATACTAGTTTTCCATCGATTTGGGAAATCGCTCTAGCGTGATATATTTCACATCTGTTTTTTATTATTGGGTATTTTATATAAATTATTAAAAGTTCTTTATGCAATGCGATTTTAAAAGAAGAGATGTCCATTAAATCAGCTATAATTACTGGTTTTTGTTCATGTTTTAATATTTCCAAGATGTCATCATTGTTTAAAATTTTGGTATTAAAAACGTCTATTTTTGCTAGAGTGATTGTGTCAATTAAATTTTGCAGATCAAATGTTAATAATCGCAAGCGATGTTTTCGAAGTGGTAGATCTTGATCAATAAATACTTTTTTAAAATCATCGGAAAGAGATTCTATT